CTGGCCAGCTCGACGGGGATCTGAATGCAGGCTCCTAGCATCCAAACAACCCCCCGCCCCCCACACACACACGTGCCTGCACTGGCTGAATGGAGGGGCAGGCATTTGCCCTTCTGCATCATCATCCTCATCAAAACATAGGAACTGAGCAAGTCAGAAGGGGCTCCCGGGCCATCTAGTCTGACCCCCGGCTCCATTCATGACATGCCCACCATGTGCATGTCCGGCCCATGGCGGGGGGGGGGGGCGGTGGCGGGGAGAGGACACCGGCGAGTGCAGGGCAGCTCCCCTGCCATCCCTGGCCCCTACGCCACCGCGCTCAAGGTTTGGAGCCACTCGATTCGTGCCGGGAAGGGGAAGCTGCTCTCTTACGGGCCGCCAAGTTGTCTCTGACTCAGGCGACACGGGAAGCAGGACCCCCGGACACTAAGAGGGAAGTGTGGATCCGTGGTGGCGAAGGGAAATGGCGCGTTTCTTCAGCCGGGAGCAAAAGCGAAAGCCAGAACTTGCAGCAAAAGGTCACGTGTCGGGGAAGGTCTGGGCAGCAATTGCTGCTGCTCATTTTGGGAGCGCCCCAGGCCAGGTTGCTGGCATTCAGCCCAAAGGAGAAAAGCGACCGGAAGGGACATGGTTAAAAGGGCCGTTGGGGGCCGAAGGCCTGGGAATCAAGCTGGTGATCTTTTCTGGCCCAGCCGGCGGCTGCTGGGGACCCCAGGCGAAAGGGGCTGCCCGGCAGAGAGAGCAGAGGAGGTTTTGTCTGGACTGGAAGCAAAAAGATTGGCAAGGAAATGGCAGAAAGCGAGGAGAGAGCAGAGCGAAAGGCACACGCCGGGGCGGCACAAGGGGTTTCGGGGAATCCGGCCCGGGAGAGGTGGGCGGGCGGAGCAGGAAGAGCAGCACAGGTGGGGCGGCGAGCCCCGGGGGAGGCGAAGCAAGCCACACCTGGGGGGCAGGACGAGGAGGGGGGCAGCAGCCAGGCGGTGGCCCCGGGTGAGAAGCCAGGACCCCATCTGAGGAAGTGTGTGTGGTGTGTGCGCGTGGGAAAGCAGGTATGGAGATCACGGCCCTTGGAAACAGCACGTTTGTAGGAATGCGTGTGCTCTTGAGGAGGGGGACAAAAGCTTGGCTTGGCTTGGCTGCTCTCTCCTCCCTTTTGGTTCAGAGTGGCAGCTTGGCCCAGTTCGCATCACCCCGCAGTGGAGCTGAGCTTCCCAGTGGGACCAGACCAAAGAGCTCCGCTGGGGGACAAACCGGTCGGCCCCCTGGATCCAGCCCGCTCATGCCCACCTGTCCCGCAGGCCCGCGTTTTGCATCCTTTCAGCTGGGAAGGCGGCTTGGCCCGTGCGTGCTGGCCATGTCTTCACAGAGAGCGTGGCGCCAGCCTTCGAAGTCCTCAGGGGCTTCGGTCCTGTCTCCCTGACGTCCCCCCTGCCCCGGAGACTCTCTGAGGCTCAGCTAGTCTCTGGAGGCCTTCTCGGGTGGCACCCCCTCCCCTAAGGGTGCCACGGGTGCCTGCCCGGAAAAGACCGTCCATGGGGCGCCCCTCCCGGGGAGACCCTCCTCGCCTCGTCATCCTCATCCTCATCCTGCATGAGCTTCAGGGCCAGGTGAAGACCTTCTCCTTCGGGAGCTGTTTACTCTTTGATAGGTAAACACCCTTAAAGCTGAATAGCCCTGATACTTCAACGGTTATACAAGGTGTGTCCAGGGAGTAATGGGAATGGTGTTCTAAGAATTCTTTAACGGAAAAATTTTACAGCCGAACATTTTCTCCTTCGCAGAAGGCACGGTGCGAGTGCACACAACGCTCTCAGCGATTTTCCCATTCCTCACAGCATCCCTGGAAGTCTTCCTGCGGGGTGGCGTTCAGAGCCTGCGTCGTGGCTCCTGGGACATTGCCCACACGACCAAAGCGGTGTCTTTTCAGACCATTCTTCATCTTTGGGAAGGTGAAAGAGCAGCAAGGAGCCAGGTCGGGGCTGTGGGGGGGATGGGGGAGCCCCGTGAGGTGTTTTTCAGCCAAAACTCTCCGGCAGCCAGAGCACCGCAGCTCAGTGCGCTGTTGCGATGAAGGATCCAAGCTGAGCCAAGCTCAACTTGTGCTGTTGGTGGACTTGTGCAGATGATAGCGCAGCTTCTCCATAAGCCCTCCTCTCCATTTCTGGAGTTTCTGGTGCACTTTTACCCATTTTCACACAAAATTTTATTGCGTACTGTTCCAAACTCGCTTGCATTTTTCCTGATGTGAGCGCAGAGTGCTTGAAGGGGTGTCGCAGAAGAGAGGGTCTCAACTCTGGCGGGGCTGGTATGTTTCGGTTTGCTACTTTCACTCCTCTTGTTCCATTTATAGGACTGCAAATTCCCCCAAGGGCCTCTTCGAGTTGAGCCCCATGGAAGCTCGCCTGCCCCCCCCGCACCCCTGGATGCAGGAGCGGGGCCGTGGGCTGCCACGAACAGCACCCCTGCCACTTCCACAGGCGCGGCAGCTGCGCACCGGAGCTGGTTCCTTCCGTGCGGGGCGCCCTGCTTGGCTTCCAGGCATTCTCCTTCTCCTTGCCCCAGGCCTCCTGGGACACCTCCTTCTGGCTGGCCCTCACCAAGAAATTAGGTCCGGCTGCTGCAAAACGGGGGCTGGACAAAACCCACGGGTTTCCCCGGAGGCCTGCAAAGCTTTCCTAAGCGCCCTTTTAAGGCGGATGAGCCCCTGGAAGCCAGCGGGTTGGGGAGGGGGCAGTGCAGGACCATGCGGGATCATCTAAATCCCCCCCTAAGCTGCTTGGCACCATCTGTCAGTGGCAAGTTTATCCAAAGATGGGCTTGGGGTTGGTCGGTCGTGCCTAGCTGCCCCCCTGCAGCAAAGTTTATTTTGGGGAGCGCCCGGGATCAGCTATCCGAGGTTAGACCGCCTCCGCCCCCCCGCCTCCATAATAACCTCCTTGCAATTATGTAATTTGCCAGTCGAGAGCGGGGCAGGGGAACGTGGCTTTGCACGCCGAGCTCCCACTCAGGAAGGGTCCAGCGAGGGTCCCACCTTGATCCTTGCCTCACCTGCTTTCCTTGCTTGCCTGACGTCTGTTTCTTGTTTCAGTTCCTTGGGGCGGGGGGGACGGGGACCGTTTGAGTGGGGGAAATGTGGATTTTTTAAAAGCGTGCATTCAACATGCTTATAGGCTGAAATGGGAAAATGTAAATTTAGGGGAATGCACATTTTTAATCTGCCTATTTTAAAATCCAGAGGCAAGTTTGGAAAACATGACTTTCACAGGGCTGTGAATCACAGGGGCTGGTACTTTTTTCAGCATCGGTGAAATTCTGTGGCATGCTCAGTAGTTTGCAGAGAATGAATGAAAACTTTATTGTGTAAAAGCAGAGGAAAAGGGGTGTTCCCATAATTCCTGAAAAGTAGCTTGGACAACTTTATAGTCAAATGAATACAGGACTGGATTCTGCTGCTGAGCATTAACTTTGAGGGTTTTGCTGCCAGAATCAAATGTTCTGCATTTCTAAGAACAACTGACCAATGTGACTGGTCAGGCTTGGTGTTTTGATGAGTGTTTTGACTTCGCTTTATGGTGCTTTACCTTTTGGGCCTTGTACCTTTGGGATGAGCTTTGCAAGGGGACAGTTGTCTGAATGAAATGTGTAGAATTTAACAGGCTAAGCATGTATCTTATTAAATAACGATGCACACAAGGAGTGGGCCGGCGGTCAGAGGCCGAGCTGCAACTGAGTGGAGGGCAAGCGTGTTTCCAGAGAGAGGCGGGGGGTTGTCATGCAACTGTCCTGCCTCGTTCGTGGGCTTTTGCTGGGTGCGCAAGAGTCCGAGCAACATTGCTTCCTCTTGCAGCCCTCCATGCTCTTCAACGCTACCGCCATCCCATGTGCTTGCACACACACACAAGCACACATCTGCTAAGGAGGAAAAGGCAGAGAAACCGTAGGAGCCCCTTTGCTCTGTGGTGCCCACTGGGAAGCCGGCGTTGCTGTACGGAGACGCAGCCCACAGTTCTCTGCCATGAAGGGCTGTCAAGCCGTCTCCGACGCAGGGCGACCATCCCAGCCCGGCTCTCGGCAGAGCAAGGCGGCGGCTCCCTTGTGGAGTTGATGGGCCTCGTAGCTGGGCCCCCTCCTCTGCTCCTGCCTCCGATTCCCCCTCTCCAGGGGGTCTTGCCATCTCATGATGTGCCTGGAGTTTGACGCATCAGCTTTGTCATTTTTGCATCCAGGGAAACTTCTGGCTTCATTTGATCAAGGACTCGCTTGTTCGTCTTTCTGCCAGTCCGGGGGATTCACAGACTCGAGTCTATTTAGCATCTTCAGGTGGCAGGCCCAGCTGGGGCTTCCTGTGCCTTTGGATGCGCGCATGCTGTGACCTTTCGATGCACAGCAGGTGGTTGGATTCGGGAATGGTGCGGCAGCTCGCCGGGTGCAGGGCCCGGCCTGGAATCCTGCTTGGAGGAAGGGGGACAGATGGAGAGAATAAGCAAACAGCCGATCAACCAGCCCAGGCAGTCGCCTGGTAGTCCTGCAGCCCGAAACGGGGCTCCCGCCCACCGTGCGCCTTGTGGCAATGGGGCAGGCTAATAAATAAATAAATAAATGAGGGAGGGAGGGAGGGGGCCTTCTTGGCAGCGGGCCCCCCAATTTTAGAATGTCCTCCTCACTGAGGTCCCCCCGATGCCAGCAATGCCAGGTTCAGACTTTCTCCTACTTCAGGGACCGGTAACTGATGCTCATTTGTTTCACTGGCTTCCAGGGATCCGCCGTACATCACTTGAGCTGTTTCAAATTGTCTTGCCTTTTTGTATGTTGACGTTTTTCTATTATCTTTTATGGCTTCCAGTTTTGTGACCTGCCCAGAGTTTTTGGCTACTGCACAGGACAGAAATGTCATAGATGGATGAGTTCGAGTAAAAACAAGCCAACCAAAAACCGCATCCTGTTAAACGGGCTTTTGATTAAACTCGGCGCTACCCTGTCTTTTTGTCTCCGCTCTGCAGCTCACCGTCTACCTCGGGAAGCAGGACTTCGTGGACCACATCGATGTGGTCAATCCAGTCGGTGAGTTTTTGCCGCCGGGCGGCTTGGCCACATTTTAAAGAGCGAGGGCAGCCGTGTGGCCACAGCCAAGGGGACTCACGTCGTCCTGGTTGATCCCGAATACCTAAAAGAAAGGAAAGGAAAGGTAACGCCTTGCTCGGTTGAGCCACACGTGCTGAAAAGGGTAGTGAAAGAGACTGGGGCCGGAAGCCGGCCGGAGGCCTGCCGCTGGGACACCCGCGATCCACTTCAGTCCCGCTTCTGTTGTGTTGCAGTTTTCGTGCTTGAGTGTTAGTTCATATTGTTCTTATATTGGCTTTATATGGTACTTTGTGCATTTCTTATGTAAGCCACTTAGAGATCTTACGAGATCAAGTAACTGAAGGACAGACAGACAGACAGACAGACAGACCGGGAAATATTACTAAGGGTGCAATTCTGTGCATGTCTGGAGAGAAAAATGCCCTGCGACTCCCAGCCAGGACACGCTGGGAATTACAGGACTGCTTTCTCTCCAAACGTGCGTAGGATTTCACCCCCAGACATTTTCCTCAGGAGCAAGAGGGGGTGCTGCAGGGATGAAAGCCTGCAGAAGTGTCAGGCGCTTTAAAAGGGCCAGAGAGACTTGCCTGCCGGTTCCTCTTCCCCCGTGCAACATTTATTTATTTATTTAAAACATTTCTATGCCACCCCATTCGCCCATTCGGGGCGGCTCACAACATAAATTAAAATATAATACATTAAAAATATAAAACCAATTAGCAATCTAAAATGCGTCCTCTCGTCCGTGGTGCAGTGTTTGCGACCCTGACGTGCGCCTTCCGCTACGGCCGCGAGGACCTGGACGTCCTGGGCCTGACCTTCCGCAAGGACCTCTTCGTCGCCAGCGCCCAGGCCTTCCCGCCGGTCCCCGAGGAGAAGAAGCCCCTCACGCGGCTCCAGGAACGGCTCATCCGGAAGCTCGGTGAGCAGGCGCACCCCTTTACCTTCGAGGTACGAGCCTTCTTCTCCCCGTTCCCCCTCGTGCCCCCGCCTGCCCCCCCTCCCCTCCTCGGCCAGCCCGGCCCCCCAGGACCATGTTCTGGCCTCGTGCAGCTGTGGTGAATGGGCTGCCCAGACGGAGCGTGTCCGGCGGCGCCCGGCCGCTTGGCGCCTGCGCTTGCACAGTGGGGCTCCTCTGTCCCCCGCGGAGGAGCTGAGGTCCCTCTCCGCCTGGAAGGGGCCCCTGGGGCTACTGCCGAGGTCCCACACACCAGAGGATGCAAGCGGGCCGCTGTTTCCCTGTCAAAATGCACCCCCCCCCCCGGCTGTCTTTTTCTCGTGGGTAAATGGTGCCTATGCAGAGACGCTCGGCGTGTGCACAGAAGGACTCATGTGCCGCTGTGCCACGCTGGGTCTGAAGGGGGCAGGAGGGGAGACTGAGGCCGCCCACCTGTCTCCCGGCAAAGGTTTGCTTTGGCCCTGCGAGGAATCTCTGGTCGAGACGCGTTGCCTGCTGCAGGCCTCAGCCTGGGCAGGAGAAACCGTGGCAGGACGAGGCCCCGCTCCGTGTGGGAATTTACAATTCGATGCATGTACACTGCACCCACCACAGGGCTCCTTCCGAGCAGCTCGCAAGCCCTGCGCTCCACCAGGTAGCTTTTCCCAGGAACACGGCTGGCCCAGGGGCTGGGGGCTGGGGGCTGGCCCTCGTGCTGCCAAACCCTGGAATAGCAGAGCTGGCAGGGGCCAGGAGGTCTTCAGGTCCAGCCCCTGCAGCTGCAGGACACCAGTTCACCCACCCCCTCAGAGGACGGTCCAGATGCTTTTTGGAGAGCCCAGGTCATAGGCCCCATTGCCACGCTGCTCTAACAGGAGGGGACGCTGCTTCGTGTCCAGCCTAAATCTAGTCTCTTTGAACTCAAGTCCGTTGTTCAGTGTCCGGCACTCTGGAAGGGACGAGAGGAGACCTTGCCCTTCCTCTCCGGCAGCCTTGCAGGTGCTTGCAGGGGGCTCTCCTACCCGCCCCCCCAGCCCTCTCTTCCGGGGGCTGAGCATGCCCAGTTCTCTCCGTCGTTCACAGGGCTTCGCCTCCAGGCCCTGAGCCATCCCCGCCGCCCTCCTCTGCACCCTTCCGGCTTTCCTGCGTCCTTCCAGAACTAGGAGCCCAGAAGTGGACACGGGACTCCAGCTGAGGCCTGGCAGTGCTGAGCAGCGGGGGACTGGCCCTTCACATGCTTCGGAGGGGATGCTTCTGCTCATGCAGCCCCAAACGGGACTTACTCTTTTTGCAGCTGCGTCACATTGTTGGCTCGGGAGCTGCAACAACCCCAAGGGCCTCTCCTTTGCAGTCTTGCTGAGCCAAGTGCCCCCCCTTCTTGTGGTGCTGCGTTTGGCTTCTTTTATCTAGGTGCAAAGCTAGCTGTGCAGAAAAAGCTACTCCAGGAAGGCTTTTCTAAAATCGCATTATATTCAGTTGAACCTTAGCCCTATATTAGGGTTCGGGGTGTGCACCAGGGTAGGGTTAGAGTTACAAAAACTGGGTGTCCTGGCATGCTTTTGATGGTTGGAATGCGTTTAGAATGGGCAGAAAGGATGAGCTGTGCGGAAAAAGCTACTCCAGGAAGGCTTTTCCAAAATCACATTATATGTAGTTGAACCTTAGCCCTATATTAGGGTTCGGGGTGTGCACCAGGGTAGGGTCAGGGTTACGCAAATGAGGTGTCCTGCGTGCCACGCATGGCTTGGCCGGGCAAACGGATTCTCTGGCCCTGAGTCGCAGCTCGCAGACCGCTAATGCCGCCCGGGGCGGGGGATCCGTGCCCGTCTGTGGCAGGGCCAGGGACAAAGGCCCGTGTGGTGGCGCTTGATAACCGCGCGCAGGGTGCCGTTGCATCCGGTGCTGGCTGCGCGGGCGTTCGCCAGTTTCAGCACACACACGTCTGGGCTTGGCTCCCGAAGACGGGGTAACAGGACCGAGCGCAGGAAAAGCGGCGGTGGCCAAAAGCCACGCCGCGGACTCCTCGCCCTGCCCCCGTCCCCCAGCAGAACGTCCCCAAACTGCTGAGGCCCGCAGGGTGCTGAGCACCGCAAGGCCGGGGAGCTTCCCCCTGTCCTTTGTAGCATGGGGGGGATTATCCTTCGGGGCTCATGGCTGGGGGAGGAGAGAAACTCCACTACCTGCAGGCTCTGCCCCCCCCCCCCCGCCCCCAGGTGGCCAGCAGAAGTGAAGCAAGCGAGGAGACGAGGCGGCAAAGCTCTCTCTTCTCCTTGACCCCACAGAGGGCTCTCCCCCCACCCCCTGCAGAGGGGACCGGCCAACGACCCGCCTCCGGGTGGGGCAGTTGCAGAGGCCGGTCGAGGAAGCCCCCCAGCAGCGCGTCACCCTTCGTGGTGGAGCAGCGCCGCCTTGCGAGCCCCCCCGGGACAGCCCGGGGCAGCCCTCCAAGGGCCCCATGAAGGGGGCCCCGATCCACAGAAGCCCGTGCAGCCACAAATGCTTTGGCTCCACGGTGCCCCCGGCTCGTGGGTCTCCTCTCCCGGCTCGTGAAGTGCGAGCGGAGGGGGTCCACTGCCCCCTCCAAAATGGCGCCTGGCTCTGCTTCCGGGGCCCCGTGCGGCTTGCTTTGGCGCAAGCGAGCAGGGGAGGCTCGCACACGGTGGCAGCGTCTCCCCTCCTGGAGGCAGGGGCCGTCTGGGATTTCCCCGCCACGGGGGGGGGAGGGGGGTGCGCCTGCTCACGCCATTCATTCCCACAAACTCCAAGCTGGACAAAGTTAGAGGCCCCCAAAGCTGCTCTTGCTTTCTTTCCTGTTCTTTGAGCCGGGGCCCGGGGGGGGGGGGGGGGCTGCTCCGACCAGGGAGGACAATTAGCCGTAATGAGCCGGAGAACAAGGCTGGCGGCCTCTGCCGGGCCAGTGGGATCGATTAGCTCGGCCCGCAACACTCGCCGGGAGGCGGCCGGCCAATTAGTGGCTGATGCAACGGATGCCCTGCGCCGCCCCGGGGGATCTTCCCGGGCGCGCACTGGCCCGGCCCTCCTCCTTGGAGTCGCCACTGGGCCTCCTGCAGCCTGGAACTTTCCGCTTGGCCCTCGGCCCTCGCCGGCCCACCCCTTCCGCCACATCCTGCTCGCCGGAGAGCTCCCAGCCGCCCTGCCACCGGCATTCGGGGGCTGGCCGTGCAGGATCCGGCCTCTGCGCCTGCCCAGACATCAGAAATGGCCTTGGAGGAGCCCTGTCTCCCGACAGAGACAAGCGGGCCCCCTGTGAGCCTTTCTGCCCCCAGCAGAAATGCAGCAGCAGCATGTCGGCATAGCGAAAAGCTCCGCGGACCCGATCCGTGAGAGTGCCACGTGCTTGGCGGGGGCAGCCAAGTAGTGGGGGCACGAGAAGGGCTGGGACCTCGGGCGACCCCGGCCGGCCGGTGGCTCCACTGCCTGAGAGGCAAATCCACCTGGGCCTCGTCCGCACTCAGAAGGCGTGCTCTGCACCACCCAACCTGGTTTGCGGTTCAGCACCACCGAGAGCGCCCTTGATTCTGGGCCAAGGCCCAGTGCAGGATGCGACCCAACTCACCCAGAGCCACAAGCCTCGCCAGGCTGGACTGCCGGGCTGGTCAGACTTGGCTCCTGGCCCCGCGGTTCCACGTCCCTCCAGATACTGCGGGAGCAGAGTCACAGAGCGGAAGAGCCGGAAGGGGCCAGAGGGCGCCTGGGTCCGGCCTCTGCCCAGCGCAGGATGCCCAGTTACCCCTCCCCTCCCAGAGGGCTGCCCAGTTGCACCTTGAATGCCTCCCACGTGGCAGAGCCCGCCATCTCCCTGGGTCCCTGGTTCCATTGTCAGACTGCTCAGACAGCCAGGACATTTCTCCTGATACCTCGCCAGAACCTGGCCTTCCTGCCACGTGAGCCCGTTATTCCGTGTCCTGCGCTCTGGGATGACAGAGAAGGGATCCTGGCCCTCGTCTTTGGGGCAGCCTTTCAAGGACTTGTAGAAACATAGAAACAGAGCGAGTCAGAAGGAGCCTCCCAGGCCATCTAGTCTGACCCCCCCATTCCAGCTGGCCCTGCTCATGACATGCCTGCCATGTGCAGAGTGTTACCACTTCTCCCCTCTGATTGATTGATTGATTGATTATTTGCATGTATATACCACCCAGGGGACTGCAGGTGGCGCAGTGGTTTAAACCTCGGTGCTGCTGGGCTGGTTGATCAAAAGGTCGCCGGTTCGAATGTGCACAACGGGGTGAGTTCCCGTTGCTCCATCCCAGCTCCTGCCAACCTTGCAGTTCGAAAGCCTGCAAATGCAAGTGGATGAAAAGGCGCCACTCCGGTGGGCAGGTCACAGTTTTCCGTGCGCTTCGGTGTTTAGGCATGCCGGCCACTTGCGCACGGAGACTGTCTGGCTCCCTCGGCCAGCAAACGGAGATGAGCAGCGCCCCGAGAGTCAGGCATCACTGGACTTAATGTCAAGGGGAAACCTTTACCTTACTTTTTATATACCACCCTAATAGCCCAGAGGGCCCTCTGGGTGGTTTACAAACATTAAACCCCCCCAGTCCTGAACAGACATTTTCTCTTCTCCAGGCTGAGCAGGCCTCTCCCCTCACGGGGCCTTGTCTGCCATGCGCGCTTCGCCCACACGGGGGCGCCCTTTGCCAGGAGAGGGAGGCAGGAGGCTTGTCCTGCGGAGAGTCTTGAAGCAGCCGCCCCAGCAGAGCCTCCAGGGCCTCGCTGCGGTGCCGGCACCCCCTCGGCGAGCCAGTGCCCTGCAGGTGTGCTGGACTGCAACTCCCATCGTGGCGGCCAGCTGCATACCTGGCATGCCTCCCTTGCCGCCCTCTGCCCCAGGCACCCCCCCCCAGGCCCCTCTCCTCCTCTAAGGACAGGCTGGCCGTGCCCCTGGGAGGCAATTCATGACGGCCCGGGAGGCCCCTTCCGGCCTGCTCCCCCGTCCACCCTTCCTCTAGGCCGATCCCCGGATTTGGCTGGCCTCCCTTCTGGCGAGCCGCTCCGAGCCCTTCAGCCTTCCAGTCGCTCTTTTCCCAGCCCTGGCCTATCCTGCCGGGTGCGGTGCCAGAACGGTGCGCGGCCTCCCAGCACGGCCAGCCTGCCCACGGGGGCAAGGGCAGGACGGTCCCGAGGCTGCAGTCCCTCGCCTCTGGAGGGCCCCTGGCTGAGAAAGGCCGGTGCACCAGGGGGCTGGCGGGACACCTGGCAAAGATGCAGCCCCGGCCAGAGGGCCCTTTCTGGGCGAGCGGCGGAGGGCGGCAGAGGGCCGGGCGCAGACGGGGGCGAGTGGCCGGTGCACGGGGAGAAGCCTCCCGGGCCGGGGCGACGGGGTCCTCGCGAGTGCCGCCCTGCTGACCTGCCACCGCGCAGGGCTTCGGGCCAGCATCCCGGTGGGGCGCCTCCCTCGCCGCCCACGGGCTCCCGCCGCCCAGCTCAGCAATAATAGCAAGGCATTGGAAAATAAAAGGTGAATATCATATAATTGACTGGTATAAAGATGCTTGGAAAATAGCTATTAATGATAAGTTTGTTTGTTTGTTTATTTGGGGTATTTCTAACCCATCCTGTCACTACACGTCTCTGGATGGCTTACAACAATAATTCAATAAATACAACAATATAAATATCAAATATCCCAAACAATAATTATGACACTAACAACCCATGACTGGAATAAAACATTGTTAAATTTTTTAAACTGTAAAATACTGGGTAAATAAAAAGGTCTTGACCTGGTGCTGGAAAGCATATCCTGTTAGCACCAGGCGGACCTCTCTGGGGAGCGCATCCCATAGCCGGGGCGCCAGCTAACTTGCGATATTAAATGGAAAAAGGTTTGATAAGTAAAAATAAATTGAAAATATTTGGAGAGCACTTATTGAATATGCTTTAATGAAAGGAAACAGGTGTGAACTGCCACAAGCATCGATGCAGTTCTGGAATTCATACACTGAATGAATCTTACGCTAAGCAACTTGATTTGTTGGTCCTGGTGGAGGTAGCACTGGTACTGATGTATTGTTTGATTATGTTTATTAGTAATGTTTAATCATGTTCCCTGTTATTATATTGTATTGTTTTTGCTAGTTTAATAAAATTATAAAAAATACTTTAAATATTTAAAAGGAAGCTACTTGAGAGAAGGCTTCCTTCTGGAGATGGAAGGCTTGCCGAAAGGAGCAAGCAAAAGCCGGCGGCCGAGAGATGCAGAAGAGCAACCGGAGAAGCCCATCGCCACGAGCAGGAATGCCACGGGAAGGGCTTGGTTAGCTTTGGCAGCACTCTGGAGCAGTGACGGCATGAAAATGGTGCGTCAAAAGCATGTGAAAGGAAAGCAGCATGAGGACCGCCGAGGGTCGGAAACGCCGTCCCGAAATAAGATCGCCCCCAGCAGGCTGCCCAGCAGCACAGGGTTGGCGCCTGCCTGGCCGCCCAAGCCCGGGAGTTCCACAGAAATGGGTCACCACACTCAAGGCCCTTCTCCCGTGGCCGCCAGCCTGGCCATGGGTCCCCGTGGAGCCTTCA